TTGGCAAGTACACATCGAAATAATCCGGTCAGATTATTCTTTCAGTTTTGAGTTATAATAATTACTCCGGAAGTGGTCTCAAAATGATCGTAACACTTTTGGAATGTGTGCTGAACTGAGTTTTCAGGAAGAATACATGTATAAACACCCTGTTATTTACGATTTTAGTTTATATTTTACTTGCACGGTAATGAGAGTTCGCCTTAAGCTTATTCTACACGGGCCAAGCTAGAGGCAATATTAGACCAAGCATGCCAGTACGGCAATAGTTGCTCCAAACTGTTTACGCCGTTGAGTCTTGCTCCGTTTTGGCATTGAGAGTATTTGTCCGCATTATCGAGAATAGTTGGTTATACCTTTAACTGAATTTAAATAGACTAGACATGCGTGTGTATTCTGTGCCTTGCGATTCTGATATACAGAATATATATATGTGTATAGAGTATATTGTGACGTTATTTCACGTCACAAAACTGAAAAATATTAACTTTGTGTCTATCATGCGGGACGTAGTACCGTCCCTTCACATCGTACCACATAAATTACCAGCCAAGAACTCCAGGGTTCATTCAATTTTTGGAATTATTGAACATTATGCTAATTTCTATCGAATCACCATTTCATGCGTCACAACAACATCCAACATCTGACGTCACTGAAGGAGAATCACCATAAGGTTGCAGCTGGGATAGTTGAGGACGATCCAAAAAGTCTAGACGCCTCCACCCTACTGCCGACGGCTAGCGAACTGAGTAGGGGGTCGGCATTGTGGAAGACATAGCCATGAATTATACTGCTCTTCATATCATTATCGGTACCGATGTCCCGAATTGGGATCATCAGAAGTACTAAAGAGGATTGAGAGCAGGAGCTACCTCGGTGCGTGGCGTCATGAATCTCCACCACCAGGCAACTGGACACACCGAAGCTGCAGCAGTGAGCATATGACATTTTGAAGATCTTGGGTTGATCGATCAGTCATATCGCCGGGTAGACTACAAACGGGATTTGCTTATTCGAATTTTTAGCTGTCCTTCCACGTATTGCGTATCGTCGGTTACAGAAAAGCTCCGGCAATTAAATATTAAATTTATATTTTATTTAAAGACATAATAAGGATTCGTATGGCAAATTCCATTTGAGCACGATGCATGATAAAATAATATACAATAAGGATTGGCGTAATAGTTTCCAATCGTATAAAAAGATAACATAGTTCGTAAATTGTGGATTACAATATAAAGACTGATATAAGATGAACGTACTTATGAGCAAAATATAGAAAAAAGAATAAATAAAAATTGATAAGTGTAAATCATAAAGATTAATTATATAAATGGTCTTTTAACTGATATAGTATGATATTGTTGATGAAGATAAAGACCTGTGTTTTGTGTATAGTATGTGAATATGCTCGGACGTAACAATATATACAGGTTGGCCATAGGTATGAGTGGCTGTGTATTGTTATGTGGCGTTATAAAGCTTGAGAGGCGACCCTTAGGAATTACTGAAAATTAAATAAAAGTATCGGGGTCGATTCCTGATTAGAATTCCTAATTTTTCGGAAATTTCTAGCCCTCCAGCACTCCTTCTCGGCTCTCAGGATTATTTCATTATAGCAGGGGCGAGCCGGGTATCCTGTTATAATATATGTGCAACGTAATTTCTATCATATGATAAAACAATAAAGAATTTAGCACTTCAATAACAAGATCACTTGGATTGTATAAAATAACGAAACAAGCTCTGTATAATACTCACTCAAAATCAAGATGAGATTGGTTACAATCTTATCCCTTTTAAAACGGACTTGAAAGATTGAATTTGTAAAATTTCTGCCTTACCGTCGGGATATTAACGCCAATTGCCTATAGTTATCCAAAATAGATACCCCGAATCCGCTTTCCTAAATATCGATTAGGTGAGGAGTAAATTACATATTGTTCTTTCCTTTTTTGTGCGTTAGGTGCCGAACAACACGCACGGCTTATAAGCGAATAGTAATTTATATCATATCGAATAGAAACGAGCGTTCGGAAATAATTATTAGGCGATACGACAGGGCCAATTTACTATCCCCCCCCTCCCCCACCCCATTTATTGCACGGCCACGAGCCAGATCGCAACATCATTACCTATTATTTCTACGTCTTTAGTTATACGATATTGATCAAAGAGTTATAGTCATGTACTGAAACTTTGATAAGTCTTTTATTAACTCATCACATCCTGCGAGCTAAGCTAACATTTTTTTATATAAATTATATTAATCCTATTCCTCCCGGACTCTGTTGCTGACGTAGAATACTCACGATGCGACCTTGATACTTCATATGATAAAAACTAAACCTATACTATAAAAATCTGAAAATTATATTTTTATACTAGGAATATCGAATAATAAAGTACATGAAATGTTATTATTAAACAAATTTAATTACAGAAGTTTTAGTTATTTATGCTTCAAATGTGATTCAAAATCACACTCTGGTAGCAATAAGGTTAATGGGTAAACGAATCTCGACAGAGCTAATAGTATTTATGATTTCTTGAAAGTATTCATTTTGGCTAATGGAACTGCCAATATTTCTCTAACTTCTTTATTTTAGTATATTTATATCGAATCAGTAAAAAGAATTGAATGATTAATGTGCGATTGTATGTATTACTATTTTATTTAATGGCATCAAATTAGGTTTCTTTTAATTTGTTGTTATTTTTCATATAGGACATAACTTTTTATTCTTCGTTTTGTATTGGACTTATTCTAAGTCTTATTATAATGAAGTAATATGTTACCATCGTCAAATACAAAATGCATTTTTAATTTAAATTTCTTTTAATAGATCTGTAGTTGTTCAATAAATAACTGTATATGTTATATTTTCGTAAAAGAAATATAACACAAATTGAAAACCAAATTCAATGAGTAAATAAATATTAATCAACGATGTGACAACAGTCCCTAGGAAAAGAGAAAGGGTAAGAAGTACTGTACGAACAACAACCGAGCGCTAGTTCACCCCCGAGTCACTAGGGGACCCCCGCAACTTTAAGCGAAATCGCAGGATTACAGGACTAATTGAGCACGCGACAAATACAGAAGGCTGATCTTCTTCTATTGAGAAGGTTGACATGGTATCCTGGAGTATCTCTTAGAGCATCTCTCATCCGGAGGGAGTATTTTATGTAGGACCATTCGTTCCTCTATCCCGCCAGGCCTGTACTGGATCATACCATCTTTCGAGGGATCTTGGGTTTTGCCTTTCACGTTGCAAGCACTGATCCAGCCTCCGTCAGGGTGGAGAATCCAATTGCGCAGCCTTAGCTACCCTGGAAACTAGCAGAGAGTATTTGCTTTCGCCAATCGAGTCACGCGTAGCCGGAAGTATAAGCTTCCACAACGTCAAGACATTCCCGAAGCCCCGAATATCCCGACTTGAAATATCCGATGTAGACGCGAGATGAAATAAATATCTGAATCGTTAAGAAATAAAGTGAAAAGTTAAATCATATAATGTTATATTATTGCTGTAACACGACTATCTCTTCACCACCCCGAACTCTGGCTTACTCTAGAGCCAAGTGGTCAAAATATTCATCGAGGGTATGATACAAATAGACGAGGTATAGCCACTAGCAATCGTATTTTGGCCAAAATCGCCTAGGGACCAATAACATCATCACGTTCAAAGCGACATCAGTTCTACTTTGAGGGGACTTATTAAGGTTTCAGTTCATAAGGAGATGGCCCCTCAAATGGAACTGATGTTGGGGAATGACGACACACATACGTAAAGTCAGCCAATTAGAACGTAGAGAATCCAGCGACGTCACTATCCAAATGCGCAAACCCGTGAATAATATATACGTTTCAACGGTAAATGAGTTATTATTGGGCATACTTCGTAGAAAGAGACTTGATAATAGTTAGACTGAACTCAAGTAAATTAGAAAACGAGATTAACTCGAAAGCATCGCAACTTACGTATATGACATCATCTGTGATATCAGAACATATTGGTCTCCTTGTATTTGGTCTAATGCGCATATCTTACAACTGGTACAGAAACGTCGAGAGTCTTGAAAGGAAGCAGAATGCCGGAGGACTCCTCTGAAAATAAGTAGAGTGACTTTTATTACACGTGAATAAAGCATTCTCCCTTGGCGCGAAGCATAAATTACTATTACCTCAGTGGCCAAAAATACGCGAAAAACTGTAGTCAAGCTACGAAGAATCTTATCTGACGAAAAAGTCAATGTCATTTAGACAAGGGTCTAGAACCTTATACGTAAAGACAAAGAAACGAAAGTCTAAAAACGGTTTTAGAAGTTCACGAAAAATTATAGTTTTCCCTCGATCGAGGATTCTGCTTGAATAAATTCTCACCCTGAGACCATCGAATGAACATAGGAAATAGAAAGAAACAGGGCGAAAAAGGTCCTGCACAAGATAGTCCTTAAGGGCATAGAGTCTTTCCGCCTTCTTAATGAATGCGCATGCGCAGCTGTGTCCCCTTTTTAGTGTGATATATGGTAGTGAGTGCGTTTCCACCTACGACGCATTCCTTGCTTTTGGCGAGCATCTAGTTCCAGAAATGACAAAAACAAAAACCGGAGAAAAAGAATGGAGTCCGGAATTACTATTCGAAAGTTTTTCGCATAAAAGTTCCATTTTTCTTGTGTACAGGAGTCACTTTGCCTAGGGACTTGGTATCAGTGACATTGTATATGTATGTACCAAGCGGATGTCGTTTGAATAAAACTGGGGTGTCAGGTCCTTGGTCTAACCGAAGATTTTAGTGGAAATGCAAATAGGAGAAGAAATAAGAAAAGAATGAAATTGCGTTTCTGGGTACCTTGAAGGTGCGACGCTTTCGTTGGCGGGTGGGACGCTTGCGCGACTACGAAATCGCTTACGGTGGGTGGCTCGGGGTTGGGGGAGGGGGCGCGGTCACAGGAACAGGACAGTTGCTCTTCAGTTGGGTTTGGTACGCGCCCCGCGAACGACCTTTGTACTCCGTTACGCCTTTCGCTCTTTAACTGCGAACGTTGTATCGTTAATAGACGGGCCACTTTCATCCCTCGTTAAGTATTTATTTTTTGTGGATGCGACTATCGCGCTTAATCCAAGATGTTCGTAAGCTACACTGACTGACAGCCATCGCGAAGAGTCCATTCACTTTTCCTGGGATACACTGCAATCCGGTGCACTCGACATTTCTGCAGGCAACAAGAACTGGTAAAACTCGAAAAGTTTATGGAAATTATATTTTTTGCTCATGCCGTGTGTGTCTTTGCATATGTGACTTTAACCTAGATCCGATGACAAAAACTAACTTATTCTTACTGTTATCTTTTCGTTCGGGATAAAACTGTCTCGGATAGTGAAAAAAAATTTTACCCTTGCTAAACTACTGCAATGCTTGACAACATAATATCACCTGGTATTTATTGTATAGCAGTGACAGTTATTCGACTTGTTTTGTACATGAAATTTTCATTTATTGACTCGTAGAAAGTTAATGCATCATTTGATAACAGTGTTTGATCATTCGACTTAGATTGATTGAGTGCGTAGTTCACAATTAGAAATGTTATCAATATAAAAGAAGAATATGTGCCCTGTATTTATCCATGTGGGATGCTTTTTCGCAGACATTCTATTATATATCTTTGACGTATACCGCTTAGCTTAAATTTGTATGAATCGTAAGAACTCGCATGGTAGGACGAGGAACATTTTAAAACTAGTGTCTAAAAACATAATGAATGCATTTACGTAAAAGTATTTTTATTGTCATTGAAACAATTCTTATACAATTGTTGCCTCGATTGTTTCATAATTCTAGCTTGAATAAATCTTTTATATTTTTCGTCTTATTAATTATCTTTCATGTTAACTAAAGCTATACTTACCTTCAAAAGGCTATTAAAAAAATATGCTAACAATAAAAGGAATAAGTTCAAATAATGTTTTCTAGTCAGAATATGTTTTTAATAATTAGATATTATGTATTACGTGTATGTTACATCAGATATCAACCGTCAATAAGTGTTACTTTGAATAATTTGAAAGAATTTTGGAAATCTGTTCAACAAGGCTTTTTTTACAAACACTGTAAATAAGTTTATCTCTGTGTTCATTTTAATGAGTTAAAAAATAATATGAAACATGCGTTATGCGCTTGCTTGTTCAATAATAAGGTGAGTTTTTTCATAGTGGATGTGTATTTATATAGAATATGTTATGGTACAGATATGCTATATTGGATTATTTAGGAGTATCGCACTGATTCAAATGACTAAGCCAACACCAAATAGTGCGACACTCTTGAATAATCCTATATAAACCATAGCAGTCATCGCATATCTTAAAAGGTTTAAAAGTTATTGGGTAAAGTTATGTTTGTATCTAAAGAAAATTTCACTTATTCTGAGCAAAGTTTCGAAAGTGTATGACTGTATGTTAAAGAAAAATGCTAAGTGATACTCCCGAAACTTCATCGAGTTCGCATAACGATTATAGAGTTAAATTTATAATGCCATTGGTAAATGAAAGGTATTTATATTGCCAGATTTTAAATTCAAGAAATATTCATTGCATTGCAACCCCGGTATCTAAAATTCAAATAAGACTTGTTGATAACCTGATCGACTATATTCAAACTATACATATACCTATTACACGATTACACAGACGCAATCGTACTTTACGTATTAATCGTCATAATAGATTTCAGTTCGATCAGTTTACAAACTTGCGTGAAATATTTGACAGGGATAAGACATCTAACCATAGGCAAAGAAGAATCTCCATTAACCGAACGGTCCGTAATAATTACGCCTTGATATTAATGATGGTTTTGGCCTCGGGCACGTCGTTCAATCTATATTTTCTCAAAGATATTAATCAAGGGGAAAATATTTAAGTTATCTACCTACGCTAACAAGAACAATTTATTCCCTTCTGATCCCGGTTTTTGTTGGTAATCACGTAACTGCCTCAGGTAAAGAAGATCATTAAGAATGAAAATTACTGAACACGGCTTCAGTTCGAAAGCCAGTGATAAGAATTATTATGTCAGTATTAGAACTAAGAAACAATTAGTTTTGTGCTTATCAAAATATAATTAAAGAATGCGGAGAATCTTCTTTATTTCCCTTGAAACGTTCCTGCAAATTGATAAAATCATTTTATCGGTTCATTCGTTTCAAAATATTGTTCTTCTCCTGTATTATATAGAACCTGTGTAGAGGTCTTACAATTCAATGAACAAATTATATAGACGGTAAAATCTACCACTTTTAATAGCCAGGTCAGAGTGTTTTCTTGAACTTGACTTGAGTTGAGATTTACAATGGTATAAATAAAAATTCTCGATAAGTATGTACTTGCGTATAAGAGAGGACGGAGATCTCTATATTTTTAATATTGAGTTATTAATTTTTATGCTACCGATGAAGAGAGTCGGCTTTTACTTCCCACGCGAATCCGATAATCCAGGCTGTAAGAATTTTGTAAAAGAAATTGCACTTAATTCTGACTCTTTAAATTTTCGATATCTCTCTTTCAAAGCGCTTGAGTTATTATCTGGAAATACACGTTGTTCAGAGTAATTATGATTTCCTTATTGTTAAGTTATCCCACGTGCATCGTTTGTACTCTTTATTCCCTGATGAAAGATAAGGTACTTATCCACGTTATCGCTGTTTAACGTGATTTATCCAATAATCTGCTTCGAGTGAATCTTTACAAATTTTGTCAAGCTATTCTGAAATTCAATAAAAATATTCGTATCTTGATTATAAATTATAATTTAAGTACACGGAGAAAGTTTTCTGAAAAATATTGCCCTGGATGCCTGGTAAAAATTGCACATGGACTTAGACACTTGGAGGTAACGGAAAGATAGGATGTTTTTATCAACAGTGTAGCCATTTTTACTTGCACAATATAATAAAAATCATCGGCTGAAATTTACAACGATGTAATGGTAAAATTTGCATGCTTCAGGATAAAAATGTTGGTGAATGTTAGAAAACAAATAAAAAGTGCAATAATGGCACAATGCGGACAGGACAATCCGGCGTAGAGGTCAGTAGACGTGATAGTATTTGGTAGGGCAGCACTTGAGACTCTGATGACTCGTGCGCACTCCTGAAAACCGAAGTTTTCCGAAGGAAGATCGTTTAACACCACGGCTAATTAAAATGTATACGAATCTTCTGGAAAATTCGTGTGAAATCTAGCAGTTTCTCAGCTGGTTTAGAGTACGAACATAAAATACTGTTCTGCAGGGTAAAAGTTCCGTCTGACCATACATATTTTAGCGATGAGTTAGAACTTTTTTCAAACACAACTGGTTACAAATTATATTTTTAGCATATTTTCCAGATCTCAAAAATTGTTCACCCATCATAGCAAAACGTATTAGGTAAAGTATCTAAAATTTATTTTGTTTTACAGTAATATTGCATGAAATTTTACTTTGATCCAGGTTTAATTCGCATTACACTAATTTTTACTAGAAAATTTTCGTCGTGCACTTATAATAACGTTATATGCAAAAGCAAGCAGCTCCTAATGTCGGAGGTAGAGTGCGCAGTTCTAACTAATATCTGCGCACACACTGACTCCGTCTCTCTGGAATCGAAGTCAATGGAGCATTTAAATTAACGAGAGCGTTTCAAATCGTGATCATGTTCGAAGCATTTTGCACTTGAAACGAGCCGCAGTTCAGTAACCTCTATGAAGTTGCCCAAGTAGGTGGGGTTCTCCTTGCATTTTTAGCAGCCACTTGATTAGTTCTCTGATTACTCATAAAATCATAATTCAACAATGTTAGAAAAATAGTTATAGTTTTTGATAACACAGTATTACTTAACCTAACCTAGAATTTAAAAAATATATATAGCTAGGTAAGTAATTTACGTGGAGAATAACATTCTGTTATTTACTAAAAGTTTGCCAATATACAAATATGTACGAGGTAATGTTCGGGCAAAGTATGCTGCAAATTCTGTTTTATTTGTAAATTTCAGCTGATGAAGGGGGCGTAGAATTAAAAAAAAATAGAAGATTATGTAATTCGTACAGGCATCTAAAACGTACCATCGTGATATTGAAATAACTATATGATTTTAACAATATTTATAAGCTGTATACGCAATGTTATAACAGAAAAGTTGCCCTTCGCACTTTCGTTTTATTTTAGTTGTTGGTAAGTAATTAAAAATAAAAATATAAAAAATGGTATGAATTAGGAAACCTTATCATATTTCCATACTTACTGTTTTTAAAGATTTAGTATTCTTCGTTAACTAAGCTTTTATATATTATTGATTCATATTTCTAATAAAAAAGTGTTTATGGAAAATATCTGCATTGGGGTGGGGTTTCCGCTATATCGTAAATATACCAAGTTATTTAGCCCAAAGGCACCACCTGAACATGGTTTTACAATAAATCTCAAATGGGCGTGCTAACTTCAAGTAGTGCGCTATTATTGAATAACCCTGTATATAGCTGTAGCTTTTTTTTTTAGAAATAGTTAAATAATAAATTTCGTTTCTTCTAGTAAGTTTTAATTACAAATGAATTCTGTAATTTAGAGACTCAGAAAAATCTCGCATCAAATACGTATGGCATAGTGGCGTGTGAGATTTCATATACTACGAAAAGTTCATAATCAAGAATACTATTTACTAGAAAAAAAATGTCATATGTTTAAACAGATTTCAAAACTAATGTTGTGTATTTAATTCCTTTTATTGTTAATACCGATTTTTCTGACATTTTTATACCCGCTCACATTTAGTAGTCTCATAATATATTACAATTAGACATTTCAGCGTTAGGTTTGTATTGTCACACAATGAATCGCATTTTTTAATATATTTCGTGGATTACGTATAATAATATAAACATCGGAATACGTGCATCCTTGATATCTGATACTTGACCCTTCATGAACTTGAGTAGGATTAATAATGCGCACGCCAGTTTGTTGGTTTTTATAAATTTCATAATGCATCAATTACTCGTAGACCTAATAGTCGAGATTTTGACTGTCGATTATTATCGATGCTCGTCGTATTTATAAATTGATTCGCGCCATTATACTGATGATACTGTTTACACGCGTTTTGCTCTATTAGCCTACAGATTAGTCGGTCTATTAACAAACCCGAGTCGAAAACCTAGAACCGTTTTAAGCATCTACAAGCTCCACTCCTTTG